GCGAGTGCGAAAGCGTGTGCGTGAGTGTGTACAGAGTTGGGGTTCGCCGGGACGCCGGTGGCTGGTTCCTTCCTCTGCTGCTGCTGCTGCTGCTGCTGCTGCGTGCAGGAGAGAGAGAGAGAGAGAAGCCATGATGTGGGGCGAGTGCGAAAGCGTGTGCGTGAGTGTGTACAGAGTTGGGGTTCGCCGGGACGACAGTGGCTGGTTCCTTCCTTTGCTGCTGCTGCTGCTGCTGCGTGGAGGGGAGAGAGAGAGAGAGAGAAGCCATGATGTGGGGCGAGTGCGAAAGCGTGTGCGTGAGTGTGTACAGAGTTGGGGTTCGCCGGGACGACAGTGGCTGGTTCCTTCCTTTGCTGCTGCTGCGTAGAGGAGAGAGAGAGAAGCCATGATGTGGGGCGAGTGCGAAAGCGCGTGCGTGAGTGTGTACAGAGTTGGGGTTCGCCGGGACGACGGCGGCTGGTTCCTTCCTCTGCTGCTGCTGCGCGGAGGGGAAAGAGAGAGAGAAGCCATGATGTGGGGCGAGTGCGAAAGCGCGTGCGCGAGTGTGTAAGAGTTGGGGTTCGCCGGGACGACGGTGGCTGGTTCCTTCCTCTGCTGCTGCTGCGCGGAGGAGAGAGAGAGAAGCCATGATGTGGGGCGAGTGCGAAAGCGCGTGCGTGAGTGTGTACAGAGTTGGGGTTCGCCGGGACGACGGTGGCTGGTTCCTTCCTCTGCTGCTGCTGCGTGGAGGAGAGAGAGAGAAGCCATGATGTGGGGCGAGTGCGAAAGCGCGTGCGTGTGTGTGTACAGAGTTGGGGTTCGCCGGGACGACGGTGGCTGGTTCCTTCCTCTGCTGCTGCTGCGTGGAGGAGAGAGAGAGAGAGAGAGAAGCCATGATGTGGGGCGAGTGCGTGAGTGTGTACAGAGTTGGGGTTCGCCGGGACGACGGCGGCTGGTTCCTTCCTCTGCTGCTGCTGCGCGGAGGAAGGAGAGAGAGAGAAGCCATATGTTGGGGGCGAGTTGCGGTGAGTGTGTACAGAGTTGGGGTTCGCCGGGAGCGACGGCGGCTTGCTGGCTGGTTCATCTTTCTCTGGCTGCTGCGCGCGGAGGAGAGGAGAGAAGCGCTATGATGTGGGGCGGAGTGCCGTGAGTGTGTACAGATGTATGGGGTTTCGGCCGGGACGAACGGCGGCTGCTGCTGGTTCCTTTCTCTGCTGCTGCTGCGCGGATGGGGGGGGGGAAGCGAGGAAAAGGAGAGAGACGAGAAGCCATAGTGATGTGGGGCGAGTGCGTGAGTGGTGTAGCAGAGTTTGGGGTTGCGCCGGGACGACGGTGCTGGTTCTTCCTCTGCTGCTGGCTGCTGCGTGGAGGAGAAGAGAGAGAAGCCATGAGTGGGGCGAGGTGCGAAAAGCGCGTCGCGTGCGTGTGTACATAAGGGGGGGGGGGGAGCGTTGGGGTTCCGCCGGACGACGGTGGCTGTTCCTTGCCTCTGCTGCTGCTGGCGTGGAGGGGAGAAGAGAGAGAGAGAGGCCAGGGGCGCATAAATGTGGGGGGCGAGTGCGGAAAGCGCGTGCGGAGTGTGTACAGAGTTGGGGTTCGCCGGGACGGGCCGGTGGCTGGTTCGCTTCCTCTGCTGGCTGCTGGGCTGGCCGTGGTAGGAGAGAGAGAAAGAGAGCGAAGCCATGATGTGGGGCGAGTGTGAAAGCGCCGTGGCGTGAGTGTACGTAAGGAGTCTCGGGGTTCGCCCCTGGATTGACGGATGGCCCTGTTCCCTTCTCTGCTTGCTGCTCGCGTGGAGGGAGAGATAGAGAGAGCAGAGAAGCCACTGATCGTGGGGCCGAGTGCGAAAGCGCCGTGCGGTGAGTGGTCGTAAGAGAGTGGGGTTTCGCCTGGACGAGCGGTAGGCTGGTTCCTTTCTCTGCTGGCTGGCTACGCCCGCGGTGGACGGAGCCAGTATATGAGACCGACGAACGAACGGCCCATGATCGTGGGCCGAGTGCGAACGCGTCGTGCGGAGTGTGTACCAGAGTTGGGGTTCGCAACGGGAACGACGGTGGCGTGGTTTCCTTCCTTCTGGCTGGCTGCTGCTGCGTGAGGGGAGAGAGAGAAGAGAGAGAAGCCATAATGTGGGGTGGGATGTGGTGTGTGTGTTTGGGGGGGGTGTGGCTGCAGTGTCTGAAGAAAGTCGGCAGAGAAGACAGAGAGACAGAGGGGGACGACAGAGCAAGAAGAGGCAAAAAAAGAAAGAGAGACAGAGAGATAAGACAGAGAGAGCGAGAGAGCAAGAAGAAAAAATAAAAAAAAAAAAAAAAGAAAGCGAGGAGACAGAAGAAAGAGAGAGAGAGAGAGAACAGACAGCAGAAGACAGAGAGAAAGATAAACAGAGACCAAGGGCGAGAGAGCGATACGGACAGCAAACAGGAGAACGAAGACAGAGAGAGACACCCGCAGGCTTC